ATCACTACAAAATCCAGGGGCCAACAGATGTAGTCGGCTCTCAGTTCCTTGACCTGGGTTAAGCCACTCCTATAATACCATAAATGGCCTTCTAGGCGTGACTACATACTGCTCAGGGGGAAACGTTGATTGTCAGGTTGCCCCCCGGGAGTGACCCGCGGCGTACAAGGAAATTCATAAACCATTGAATACTTCTGATTTTTGTTTTATGTGTCTTTCACTTGGGAGGGGGGCAGGCAAATTTTAAAACCTAATGGATCAAAAAGACATTTCATGACTATTTTACTTTATTAGCTTTAAGTTTTGTGCTATACTGGTATGTAGCAACCTCTGGGATACATCCGTTACGTGTGTTATGGACCAAAAAACAAGATATCTCCTCAAAACTACTCACTAAACAGCAGAAGTCGTGTAGCCTGTACACCGGGCAGCCATTTTGTTCAAAACAAGTTCTATTTGCCATGCGTAGAAGATAGAAAGTCCCTTTTTACTAGCCCATCCCACCCATTTCGCTTGAATTGGTACAGCCCGTCTGCCAGGAGCGCACCGCTGTGGCCTTGAGGTCGGCAGGCAGGGCACGTCAACTGTCACTGCAGCTGAAGGGTCGAAAACAGCCCAGGCATTTTGTAGTGTAAGTGTTGTTGACGTGAAGAATACTGCAGCTGCAGTTACGTTATGTTCAGCCGCATGTGCAAAGAACCGATAAAGACCACAATTTATATTTGTAATGAGTCCAGGTACTGAAATTGCCTATAATTATAGCAAGGTGATAATTCATGACAGTGAATTACACTGTAATCGCCTACGTCAAGTAACTGATTAATGAGGATAATTTCTCACTTATAATTCTCAAGACGTGGGGTTCTGTAATTACCTCTCTAGTCGAAACTTATTGACAATTTAGGGCAATTTTACGTCCAAATTGTTTGTTAGGCAGCACGTTTTCGCCCCAATCATTTGTTTCACTGATGTGTAATTGAGAAAGCGCATTAGAATTCACATCAATGCGCACGTTGAAATGTTTTTCGTATCCCGAAGCAAGGCGAAACATGTAAGCTGGCCTTGTGGTTAGGGTTGTTGACATAAAATCTAAAGGTTCTGGGTTAGTATTCTTACCAGGCCCCAATGTTTTGCCGTTGGGAACGGCACTTAAGCTTCAACGTCTATTTTCTCAGAAGACTTAGTTGAAGATTAGGGGACGACTTAGTTGAAGATTAGGGGACGACTTAGTTGAAGATTAGGGGACGACTTAGTTGAAGATTAGGGGCGACTTTTTTTGAAGATTATGGACGATTTTGGTGACGATTATGGACGATTTTGTTGAACATTAGGGACGACTTTGGTGAAGATTATAATTAGAGACGTCATCTTGGATAAGACGTAAAGCCTTCACGAAGGTACACTTCTGAAACAAATTGCAAGCTGGTCTTGTGGTTAGGATTGTCGACTTCAAATCCGAAGATCCTAGGTTCGAATGTCTGGCAGACCTCGATTATTGTTGTGTCCTTAGGAAAGGCCG